CCCCACCTTGGTTGAGTCCCCTGTTTGTTCCCTCCTCCAGGCTTCCCTAAGCCAGCCCTCCCTCTTATCATGACCACCTGTAGCCCCCTCCCCTCGCTCTTCCCACCCACTGCTGTCACTGAGCCCAGCCCCTGCAGTGTGGTCACAGCCTCCCCTTTGTGTGCTCCCTCCCTACTCACCCACTAAGCTCCTCTCCCTGACCCATTTCTTCTAGGACCAGCCCCTGCAGCATGTGCACTCTTGTGAGGTATAAAATGCCTCTCCCCTGACCCCACAGAGTCCCCTCCCTACCCACTGGCCTCCTCCATCAGTCCCCCCTAGAAGGTCCCCCCTAGAGAGTTACTTCTCTGGCACCCAGCCCCTCTCCACCCAGGCCCTTGGGGATCCCACTGTGAGGACCCCTGACAAGCCCCTGTCCTTGACTGCAGGCATGCTGAGGACCTCATTGTGACACCGTTTGCCCAGGTAAGATTCTTCCCCTGAGGAGGAAAGGGACTCCAGCCCTTCCCTACCCTCGGGGACAGGTTGGTCCTCTGGGGGCACCTCAGGTCTCACTGATGCTCCCCCTTCCAGGTGCTGGCCAGTCTCCGGAGTGTGCGCAGCAACTTTTCACTCCTGACCAATGTGCCCATTCCCAGCAACAAGTAAGTGAGGCTAGGCCCCAATGCCCATGATCATAACATGAACACATCTCAGCTCTGCTGTGTGACCTCAGGCAGGCACGTGAACTCTCTGAGCCTCTATTCAGGCAACAGCACCCTCTGAGCCAGTAAACCATTGTGATTCAAATGACTAAGCAGTGGAAACTTTTACCAATAGAGACTGAGGGGTCGAGAGGCACGGTGGCAAGGTTGTGGGGCAGTCAACCACCCAAGTCTGGGGCCACTCCTGGCCCTGATGCCAACTTCCTGGGCAAATAGCATCCTATGGTGCCTCTGCTCTTCCCCTTCCCACCCCACAGAAAATGGGAATTCCGTAGTGCCTGCATTAGATGGCTGCCATGAGGACTACAGAAGATGATATATAAAAAGTGCTAGAACATTGCCCAGCACATAGTAAGTGCTCACTAAATAAGAGTAGTTATTATTTGGGGTTAGGGCTGTGGCTGAGGATTGCTGGTCCCTCTTGGAGTGGAGGGAAGGGATAGTCAAGGAAGCGTTTAGAGGCATAGGACTGACTGCCATGTAGTATTGAGGAAGCCAGTTCACTTCCTGAGCCTCAATTTCCTCATCTGTGAAATGGGTTATTGTGGGGCTGCTGAGAGGCCTGGGACACAGTGAGCCCTCAGAAAAAGGGAAACCAGCACTATGCACAGAGAGGTGGCGGTAGGGGCACAGGACGATGTTGGAGCTCCGTTTCTTTGCAGGCGGTCCCCCCTGGGCGGTCCAACCCCTGTCTGCAAGGCCACACTGTCAGGTAACTAAACCCATGGTGGTGCAAAAGGGCCCCTTCTGCTGCCCAATAGGGGCCCCTCACCCCTTTTCCCAGCATGCCACTCACCTGCCAGGCCCGAATCACCATCGGCTGGGGCCTTTGGGGGTCTCCCTGTGGACTCTGTCAGTCACCACCCCACTCCCCGTTCTCCAGAGGAGACGTGTCAGCAGTTGGCCCGGGAGACGTTGGAGGAATTGGACTGGTGTCTGGAGCAGCTGGAGACCATGCAGACCTACCGCTCGGTCAGCGAGATGGCGTCCCACAAGGTGTGCAAGCCCAGGACCAATTGGACGGAACATGTGGGCGTGGCAGGTCTTAGGGCGGGGCTAATTGTGGGGGCGGGGCCAACCTGTGGAAGGCAGCTTCAGGATGTAGCTTCTATAGATTCCAGCTTTTCCCTGTGTGTGTGTACTGTCTATAGGTGACCATCTATTAGGGGGCGTCGTATACTTGCATGATCTATGGATATGTAAATGTGGCTGTGGGTCTGTGTGGCTGTCAATTTGCCAGCTACCCATTTGCAGCGCAGGGTGGGGTGCATCTCCAGAGGATCCATGGGGACCGGCGTGCAGAGGTGACTCTGTGGAGGGTGTATGGGTATGCACAGCTGATTTATGCGGGGCTGTGTGGGATAAGTGTGTGCACCCACAGGTAAGAGTTAGCCCAGGTGTGAATCTGAGTATGTGTAGTCCTGCGTTTGCGACTGTGCATTCCCACTTGCAGGACCGCAGGGGCAGATGCAAGGCTTCCATGTACAGCTGTGCAGACTGTGTCCTGCCCAGCTCCAGGGGGCACCGTTCAGAGAGCAGGCAATGTGAATGGTGCTTCCTGGAGTTGTGCAGCATGGTGGCAGCCCCTGTGGGAGAACGTCTATCCAGAAGCGAGTGTGCAGGTGGGCGTGTCTGTGCACAGGGGAAGGGGGGCGCATACCCCTATGGGTGGGTGTTGGAGAACGTGCGGGTATGAGGGCAGTTGTGTCTCTGAAGGTGTGATGAGCATACGAGAATGTGACTGTCTCTGCCTGTAGATTTGCGGGTGGGTTTCTGCAATGGTCTGTGTGTGTGTATATCTGTGGGTGTGAGTGTGAGCACTCTCTTAAGGGTTGGTCAGGATATGTTTGTGTCTAAGGCCACATGGGTTTTGTGTTTGTTTGAAAGTACGTCTGTGGGTAAGTTGAGTGTGCGTTGGTGAGTCCGCTCTCTGGGTGTTTGTCCCTAGGTGTGTGTCCGCTTGCCTGGGTGTGGGTCTGTGTTCTTGGAGGGGGTGTGTCTGACGGTATTTTATCTCTGTGAGCTCAACAGCATACCTATGAATGTGTTGGACATCAGAGTCGTGACTGTGTGTGTATTGGTGTGGAAGCTGTGTCTCAGAGTGTTTGTGTGTCTGAGTATGTAGAGTGTCTGGGTGTATGTCTTTGTCTCTGGGTGTGTCCACAGAGGTGGCATGTCCTCTCAAGGGTGTGTGTGTCTCCCTGCCTGTCCCCAGCAGCCCCACCTGGGTCCCGGCTGAGGCCTGTGGGCTCTGATGCCCCTTTAACGCCCCCCCCACCCCCAGCACCACCTGATGTCGCATGCAGCCTGCCAGTGCTGCAGTGAGCACGCACACGCACACACGGAGCCCAGAGCCTCCGAAGCCTCCTCCTGGGACCCTCGCCCTGCCTCCCATGGGCAGGGGTCCCCAGCTGCCTCCAGCCTCCACCGTGGGGGAGGCCGGGGGCCAGCGGACCATGTAACCAGGGCTGCTGCTGGGAGCGCGGAGGGGAAGGGAGCCCCCAGCCCTGCTGGGCCGGCCCAGGCCCCTCCGCGGCTCCCCCTTCCGCTGCCCACCTGCCCAGCACCCCACCCCCACAACAGTGGCTGTTAACCCCGGGATTCCCCAAGCCCAGCCTCTGTGTGCGGCAGCCCCGAGCGGGGCTAAGACTCCAAGATGCCCTTGGTGGATTTCTTCTGTGAGACCTGTTCCAAGCCGTGGCTGGTGGGCTGGTGGGACCAGGTAGGGAAATCAGGGTGGAGGATGGGCAGGAGACCTGGCCCTGGCCCACCTACCTCAGACCCTCCAGCACCCGGTCTGGGCCTGTGTGTGCAGCTGTGCACGTGTGTGGCCTGGATATGCTTTGTAACTGTGCCTCTGTGTGTGGTGTCCAGGGCTGGGTGTGGATGGCGGGTGGCTGGGGGTATGGGTCTCTTGCTGGATATGACTATCAGTGCACACGTGTGTGTGTCTGCAGTGGTGTGGGGCTGCCTGACCATATGCTTGTGTGCCTGGCCATGGCGTGGCCCTCTCTGAGATCATGTGGCTCTGATTGTGGTGGTGTGTCTTGGGCCATGTTTGTGAGCCCAGAGTTGTGTGCTTTTTCTGGGGCATGTGCTCCTGGGTGTCAACTACTGCCTTATTGTGTATACCCCTTGATTTGTGTGCTCGGGGCTGTGTAGAACTGTGTCACCTGGGAGTCTGTGCATCTGTGTGACTTTGTGGGTCCATCTTGTGTGTGTATGTGTGTCCTTTCGTGTGCCTGGGGACACACACACACTGGGAGGAGTGAGCACCCTGTCCTAGTGTGGGCCATGTGGGCTCACCCTTCCTGTCTCTGTGGACTGAGTCTGCTCCTGTTTTGGGGGTGTTTTGAAAGAGCTTGGGGGCGGGGAGTCGATGCCCTTCCTCCTCCATGCACAATGTCACAGCAGATGCTTGTGTGAATGGCATGGGGGGACCAGGAAGGGCCCCCAAGCCCAGTTCTGGGTATAGTCCAGTCATCTGTGCATCTGTCCACCCCTCTGAGGTTGGGGGAGAGGGGCCTGTGATGGGAAATCCCCCTCCCTGGGTGACCAAACTAGGGTTTCCTCAGCTCACTCATCTTCCCCACCCCAGCCAAACCTTCTCTTCACCCAGAACTTGAGGTCTGTATTCCTTCCTTCCAAACCGGACTCGGGGCTGAGAGCTGGGGGCCAAGAGCCCCAAGGGTGTGGGGCTCCGTGTCTGGGAAGACCTGGGCCGGGGTAGCTCTGGGAAGGCAAGGGTTAAGAGGCCTGCGGCCTGGCCCCCTTTCCCCAGCTCAGCAGCTGGTTGGAGGGAGAGTTGCTAAGGAGACTGCCATCGCCATGGCAATGAGAGTCTCCTGACACCCTATTGGTTCCCTGTTAAGCAGGTGCTCCTCCCTTCCACAGGTGCCCCTCTGGCTCCTCCTTTGGGTGGAGCCCCTCTTCCTCAGGCAGGGAGGGGCATGCTGAGTCCTGACTGCCCCCTGTCCGCTTGCCTGGGTGTGGGTCTGTGTTCTTGGAGGGGGTGTGTCTGACGGTATTTTATCTCTGTGAGCTCAACAGCATACCTATGAATGTGTTGGACATCAGAGTCGTGACTGTGTGTGTATTGGTGTGGAAGCTGTGTCTCAGAGTGTTTGTGTGTCTGAGTATGTAGAGTGTCTGGGTGTATGTCTTTGTCTCTGGGTGTGTCCACAGAGGTGGCATGTCCTCTCAAGGGTGTGTGTGTCTCCCTGCCTGTCCCCAGCAGCCCCACCTGGGTCCCGGCTGAGGCCTGTGGGCTCTGATGCCCCTTTAACGCCCCCCCCACCCCCAGCACCACCTGATGTCGCATGCAGCCTGCCAGTGCTGCAGTGAGCACGCACACGCACACACGGAGCCCAGAGCCTCCGAAGCCTCCTCCTGGGACCCTCGCCCTGCCTCCCATGGGCAGGGGTCCCCAGCTGCCTCCAGCCTCCACCGTGGGGGAGGCCGGGGGCCAGCGGACCATGTAACCAGGGCTGCTGCTGGGAGCGCGGAGGGGAAGGGAGCCCCCAGCCCTGCTGGGCCGGCCCAGGCCCCTCCGCGGCTCCCCCTTCCACTGCCCACCTGCCCAGCACCCCACCCCCACAACAGTGGCTGTTAACCCCGGGATTCCCCAAGCCCAGCCTCTGTGTGCGGCAGCCCCGAGCGGGGCTAAGACTCCAAGATGCCCTTGGTGGATTTCTTCTGTGAGACCTGTTCCAAGCCGTGGCTGGTGGGCTGGTGGGACCAGGTAGGGAAATCAGGGTGGAGGATGGGCAGGAGACCTGGCCCTGGCCCACCTACCTCAGACCCTCCAGCACCCGGTCTGGGCCTGTGTGTGCAGCTGTGCACGTGTGTGGCCTGGATATGCTTTGTAACTGTGCCTCTGTGTGTGGTGTCCAGGGCTGGGTGTGGATGGCGGGTGGCTGGGGGTATGGGTCTCTTGCTGGATATGACTATCAGTGCACACGTGTGTGTGTCTGCAGTGGTGTGGGGCTGCCTGACCATATGCTTGTGTGCCTGGCCATGGCGTGGCCCTCTCTGAGATCATGTGGCTCTGATTGTGGTGGTGTGTCTTGGGCCATGTTTGTGAGCCCAGAGTTGTGTGCTTTTTCTGGGGCATGTGCTCCTGGGTGTCAACTACTGCCTTATTGTGTATACCCCTTGATTTGTGTGCTCGGGGCTGTGTAGAACTGTGTCACCTGGGAGTCTGTGCATCTGTGTGACTTTGTGGGTCCATCTTGTGTGTGTATGTGTGTCCTTTCGTGTGCCTGGGGACACACACACACTGGGAGGAGTGAGCACCCTGTCCTAGTGTGGGCCATGTGGGCTCACCCTTCCTGTCTCTGTGGACTGAGTCTGCTCCTGTTTTGGGGGTGTTTTGAAAGAGCTTGGGGGCGGGGAGTCGATGCCCTTCCTCCTCCATGCACAATGTCACAGCAGATGCTTGTGTGAATGGCATGGGGGGACCAGGAAGGGCCCCCAAGCCCAGTTCTGGGTATAGTCCAGTCATCTGTGCATCTGTCCACCCCTCTGAGGTTGGGGGAGAGGGGCCTGTGATGGGAAATCCCCCTCCCTGGGTGACCAAACTAGGGTTTCCTCAGCTCACTCATCTTCCCCACCCCAGCCAAACCTTCTCTTCACCCAGAACTTGAGGTCTGTATTCCTTCCTTCCAAACCGGACTCGGGGCTGAGAGCTGGGGGCCAAGAGCCCCAAGGGTGTGGGGCTCCGTGTCTGGGAAGACCTGGGCCGGGGTAGCTCTGGGAAGGCAAGGGTTAAGAGGCCTGCGGCCTGGCCCCCTTTCCCCAGCTCAGCAGCTGGTTGGAGGGAGAGTTGCTAAGGAGACTGCCATCGCCATGGCAATGAGAGTCTCCTGACACCCTATTGGTTCCCTGTTAAGCAGGTGCTCCTCCCTTCCACAGGTGCCCCTCTGGCTCCTCCTTTGGGTGGAGCCCCTCTTCCTCAGGCAGGGAGGGGCATGCTGAGTCCTGACTGCCCCCGAGCTGGGGACCCCCATCCAAATCTGAGAGGAAAGGAAGGGCTGACCCCTCCCCTCTAGCAGCCTGCTGAGAGTTCTGGTGACTGAGCAAAGGAGAGACTCATGGGGTCTCTGGAAGTTTCTTGGGAGGGGCTGACTTCCCCCTTCCCTGCCATGACCCCATCATTCCTTCCTTCCTGCCTCCTGCTCCTTAGTTCAAGAGGATGTTAAACCGGGAACTCACACACCTGTCAGAGATGAGCAGGTCAGGAAACCAGGTCTCTGAGTACATCTCCACTACATTCCTGGGTGAGTGAAGTACGGCACTTATGTGTCAGGGGGTGCACACCTGGACTGGAGGGGGCCGTGCCACACCCCAGATCCCATCGCCCACATTAACCCAAGGGAGCCCTAACCCTAACTCTGTCTTTTAACTCCCCGAAAGTCCAAGTCAACCATGATCAGGAGTTCCCATACTCATGACTCCCGCAAACTCAGTGGGATCGCACCTTCTATGAAACCCCCCACATTTGAAAATCTCTACATGCAGAGAGACCCCTTCAAACTCAGTGGAACCTCAATGGAACTCTTTAACTCAAGACTGCAAGAAACCCCTGAACTCAAATAAAATCCCTGAACTTTAAAATGCTTCAAGGCTGAAAAGCCTCCCAAAATTCAATAGAATCTCTAAACCTGGATTTCCCCCAGATTTGAAAACTCACTGGGGTTCTCAAACTTAAGGGAGCCTCTGGCATTAAAAGTCCATAAAAGACCACCAAATGTTAAAAAAAACTCCAAGCTGAAAAGTTTCCCAAATTCAATAGAACCGCCAAACTTGGTTTGACCCCCCTCAAATTCAGTAGATCCCCCTAACTTTAAATACCCAAACACAATAGAATTCTCAAGCTTAAGAACCTATAAGAGATTTTCCAAACTTAGGAGAATTTCCTAACTCAATAGAGCCCCAAATTAATTGGAACCCTCAAGCTCATTCACTGGGGGACTGCCAATGAATCCTAACCTCTGAAGCCAAGAGCCCAAGGACTGGTGAAGCATACCCCACAAACTCAGGACAATTTCATACTCAATTAATCAGCAGAAGGTCCCTAAATTTCACAGCACCACCCCCAACAAGTTATAGAGAAGCTTCAGTTTCAAATGCTTCAGCCAGTACGGCTGTGGCAAGCCGAGTTCTGAGATCCTGCCGCTGGGAACAAGGCACGCAAATAACCCCTATTAGGCCCTGTCATTGACTGATGTACCCCATGTCTTAATGAGTGTCCAGGGCTGGGCTTTGGAAGTTCTTGAAGGCTCAGGAAAAGGGTTCCTGGTGCTAGCCCCTAGGCAGGTTGGTGTCAGGGGGGTGGAGGGGTTGGCCCACGGAGCCAGAGATCACCCTTCCCTCCCTCCAAGTGCTGTTCACCCCCACCAACACTCTCGGGCACCATGGGGTTGTGCTCCCTGCCCAAGAAGCTTCCCTGCCCATCTGGGGCAGGCAGAGGCTCTCTTTAGCATTCCCACCCCACTTCCTGACTTCTCATGACACCCTTTTGCCAAACCTGGCAATCGGACTAGAGCCACCCCACAGTTCTGGGCTGGCCCTGAGGTCCCCACTCCAGTCCACCACCGCCCAGAAAAATTCCTGCATCCCCTCCGGTTCCCAGCCCATGAATAACCAACAGCATGACACCCCAAAGGGCTCTGCCCTCCTGGGTGAGACTTCCCAGGGCATGTGGGAGGGTGTGCTGAGGGCCAGACGGAGCCTCCGTGGGGTACTCATCATTGCCTGTCCTCCATCTTCTGCAGACAAGCAGAATGAAGTGGAGATCCCATCACCCACGGTAAAGGATCGAGAAAAACTGGAAGCAGCACGGCAGAGACCCTCCCAGCTGCCCCAACCTCCTGGGCCACAATTTCAGCCCATGTCTCAGATCACGGGGGTGAAGAAGCTAATGCATAGGAGCAGCCCTAACGATTCCAGTATCCCCCACTTCAAGGTGAAGACCGACCAAGAGGAGCTCCTGGCCCACGTGGGTGGGGCATCGGAGGGCTGGGCTGGAGAGGGACGGGGATCTCCTGGGGCCTAAAGAAGGGCTGGGCCTTGGGTCAGCCTGAGATGAGGATTCAGATTGGGGGTGCTTTATGAGGCTGTGGAAAGGGAGAGAAGCAAACAGAACAGGAAGGAGCTCAGCAACCAGGAGGTCTCAGCTGGACTCTGGCCTCAGCCTGACCCCACAGGCTGCTCTAGAGTGCGAACAGCACCATAAGGTTGAGCCCATCTTGTCACATGCATGCTGGCCTTTTGTACCCCGTCAGTCATTGGCTAGAGGCAGCTCCCAAGGTGGAGGGTGTCATCCCCTCCATTTATCTCCTGTGGCAGTTTTCTGGAGAATGGGACAGCCCTGAGACTTTGTAAGCAACAGTCCCAGCAGCTGGAGGATGGGAGCAATGGCAAGCGAAGGAAGGGGTTCTGGGCAGGACCCCAACAGCATCCACTACAGGCCAGACCTGGGTCCAGCTCCCACTCTGATTTGTGCACCAGATGGGATGCACGCATGGTGTTCACTCAGCTGCCACTTACTGTAACCCTCAGGGAGCTGGTGCTACATTTGGCCACCTAGTATTTCTGTGTACCTCCTGTATGCCTGCATTGTTCTACAGGCTGGGGGGATGTAGAAAATTAGTGTTCCTTTCATCCCGGTGCTCATGAGCAGTTTAGCTCTGAGGCTGAGCAGTGCTTTCAGATCAGCCAAGCGCGGTTCACGTCCCAGCTTTGCCGTTTGTGAGATGCAAGGTCTAGGGTAAGTCAAGTCACTACTCTGAGCTTTGATTCCCTCATGAATGAGATCAAGCCCCTTATCTCACTGCTCAGGGGAGAGTAAGCATTTATGAGACAATTACTATGGTTGCTGTTACTTTGCAGCCCGGCAGGCATGGACAGTAAATTGGGTGCTGCTGAGCACACCACCCAGTACCACTTTCACACCAGAGCTCTGAACTCCTAGGGAAGAATCTAGAGGGACCTGGGCCTTGTGGGCTCCTGACCTCTGGCCTCTATGTCCCCCAGGAACTGGAAAATTTGAACAAGTGGGGCCTGAACATCTTCTGCGTGTCGGATTACGCTGGAGATCGGTCCCTCAGCTGCATCATGTACACCATCTTCCAGGTAGGGTGGCCTGAGCGGGGCAGGGCAGGGAGCTGAGCGCCAGCAGGGGTCACCGCCCCCCCCATACCTGCCCTCAGGAGCGGGACCTGCTGAAGAAGTTCCACATTCCGGTGGACACAATCATGAGGTATATGCAGACCCTAGAGGACCACTACCACCCCGATGTGGCCTACCACAACAGCCTGCACGCGGCTGACGTGCTCCAGTCCACCCACGTGCTGCTGGCCACACCTGCCCTGGACGTGAGCACCACCTGGCCCCCGAACTCCCCAGCCCCATCTCTCTGGGACCTGGTTCCTTTGTCTGATCCTCATCTTTCTGACCCTCTCTCTCTGCCCCCAGGCGGTGTTCACGGACCTGGAGATTCTTGCTGCTCTCTTTGCGGCTGCCATCCATGACGTGGACCACCCCGGGGTCTCCAACCAATTTCTCATCAACACCAGTGAGTGGCCCTCCACGGGGACGGGAATGCTGGGCTGGAAGTGGGGCTGCCAGGTGGCCCCTCCCCTCACATCCTCTGACCACTGCAACGGCCTGGGCCGCAGATTCAGAGCTGGCACTCATGTACAATGACGAGTCGGTGCTGGAGAACCACCATCTGGCTGTGGGCTTCAAGCTGCTGCAGGAGGACAACTGTGACATCTTCCAGAACCTCAGCAAGCGCCAGTGGCAGAGCCTGCGCAAGATGGTCATCGACATGGTGGGCGGGGGGGTCGGGGACAGGGAAGAGTGGGAAAGGTTGTCTTTGAGGTGGGGGTGTGGGGAGGGGCCGGGTCTGAGTCTGACAGGGAGGCCCCTCTGGGAAAAGGTGTCTGGGGGTGCTTCTGGAAAAATTTAAGTGGCCCAGGTCGAGTTGGACTGTGGATGGCAGGTTTTCCGCGGCCCCTGTGATGCCTCCTTGCCCGCAGGTGCTGGCCACGGACATGTCCAAGCACATGACCCTCCTGGCAGACCTGAAGACCATGGTGGAGACCAAAAAAGTGACCAGCTCGGGGGTCCTCCTGCTGGACAACTACTCTGACCGCATCCAGGTGCCTGCCTCATGCACCTCATAGAGACTGGGGTCCCTGTCCCTCCCCCCCGTTAGGTCTGGGCTGCTCCTGTTCCTGGGCCGTCAGCCCTCACATTGCCTATCTTCCTGCCTTTTTCTCTCCGTCCCACAATCTCCTTCCTTCCCTGTCCCTCACTCCCCTCCCTCCCACAATGCCCACCTGTCTCCAGCTTTCCCCTACCCCAGTCCCCACTCTCCCCTCAAGGCAGGAGGGAAGGAAGCCTGAGCCCCCAAACTGGGACAGGGCCATGGCCTCTGAAGATCCCCACTCCCACGCAGGTCCTGCGGAACATGGTGCACTGTGCAGACCTCAGCAACCCCACCAAGCCTCTGGAGCTCTATCGCCAGTGGACGGACCGCATCATGGCTGAGTTCTTCCAGCAGGGCGACAGGGAACGGGAGCGGGGCATGGAGATCAGCCCCATGTGTGACAAGCACACGGCCTCAGTGGAGAAGTCTCAGGTACAGTTTCAGGAGACAGAGGAAAGAGAGCAGGGCCGACCTCCCCATTCCATCCTGTTCTGGCCTGGAGCCCCGAGACTCAGGAGGCCCTGACCCGCCTCTCCACAAAGTCAAATTTCTCTTTGTTCATTTTGTTCCTTTTCTGTCTCGATGCGCAATATGCGACATTTCCCCTCCAAAGGGCAAGCCACCTGAGCCTCTGGGCTTGCAAGTTGTAGACCTGAGCTCACAACTCTAACTCATTTGTAGCAACTGTACAGTATCCGTAATACTATTTACTCAGCTCTTAATTACAGACCTCATCTCGATTCAGCCTCTCAGTTGCCCTGTAATCTGCTCACTGATACTGTCCTTGGTTTTTCATTGGATTTTGAAATGATGTGAAATGAACCGTCTTCATCAAGTCCCCACCTAATTTAACAAAAGGGACAGAAACACAATCTGGCAAAAGACACTGACGTGTCAACGTGAGAGTTTTTCACCCTCCCACCTTCCAGTCTCCACCCTGGGGAGACCTAGTTTCCCCAGTTTGGAGTATATGCCCTTGCAGACCCAGGTTACCCAGCCTTGGTGCTGCTGACATTTGGGGCCAGATCCTCCTCCACGGTAGGGGCTGCCCTATGCGTTGCTGGGGGTTGAGCAGTGTCCCTGACCCCCACCCACTAAATGCCAAGAGCACCCTCCCATTCCAGTGGCAACAACCAAAAATGTCTCCAGATACTTCCAAATGTCCCCTGGGCATGCAAAGCCTGGGAAAAACAGTTTCCTGCATTTTATTTTATAGTTAGGTTCATAGGCAAATAAATAATGAACTATAGTTCGTGTGGTTAGTGTTTCTTAAAATATGATCTGTCAGTGTATACCTGTTTTTATACAGCCTGTATGTGCTTCTGAACAATGACTTGGAGCTCTGTCCAAATTATTACACATAGATGAGTACATTGTTTTTCACTACTGTATAGTATTCCCACAGATGCAGCTAAGAAAACGGTTTGTGTAGTTCTTCTGCTGATGGACACTGAAGTGTTCAGGAGTTAGGAATTCACAATGACTCAAACATGATAAATTATTCTTGTTTTTCTCTGATGTAAGAAAAGTCTGGAGAAAGAATCGGCTCCCTTTGGCTCCAGGAAGTTGTCAGGCACCTAGGAAATTTCAGTGTTTCACTTCTATCATCTAAAGTGGGTTTCTATCCTCTCATGGTAAGAGATACTATGGTAGCTCCAGCCATGCGGGCTGTATTCTAGGGAGGAAAGGCCTCTGCAGGCTAAGGCAGCCACTGATACCTTCTAGCTACTGGTAGTCACATGGCCGTTCTCTATTTGCAAAAGAAGTGGGCAATGTAGTTTTCAGCTACATGGGGGGCAGCATTGCCTCATGAGAAGCATTGCCCAAGAAAAATCAGATTCTGTCTGGAAGAAGGAAGGCAGACATATCAAGGTGTTAACCAGTAGTCTGCCATGAAGTTATTTCTAGTTTCTCTCTGCTGCAAAAAATGCCGTAATACATAGCTGTGATGTACTATAATTTTTAAAAATGAATCCCCAGTTGATGGATAAGTGGAAGTATTTCCAGTTTTTATTTACATCTCATGTGTGATTTTTTTTTTTCTTATGCATGCAAGAGTTTTTCCAGGGTGGTTCTGGAGAAGTAAGATTGCTGGGTCCAATGCTATCAGCATCTTTTACATTGTATTAGATTCCGTAGCATGGCGGTGCCATCAGCACCATGAGGCCACCAGTTTGTACCTTCCTCCCCTCTCCCAGGTGGGCTTCATCGACTATATCGTGCACCCGCTGTGGGAGACGTGGGCTGACCTGGTCCACCCAGATGCCCAGGAGATCCTAGACACACTGAAGGAGAACCGGGACTGGTACTACAGTGCCATTCGGCAGAGCCCTTCACCACCGCCTGAGGGAGAGCCTGGGGGCCCAGGCCACCCCCCACCACCGGATAAGTTCCAGTTTAAGCTGACCCTGGAGGAAGAAGAGGAGGAGGAGGTGTCTACCACCCCAGGTGCATCGGGAGCGCAGGAACTGTCCACAGCCCAGGATGCATCCACGGGGGTGGAGGTAGAGGAAATGGGTTTGACGCAGCAAGCAGACGCGGCAGATCGTACGACCATGGGCCAGGACAAGGCCATGTCCCCAGATGCACCTGTTGGTGCCGCAGGCTACGGCAGCCCCCCGGCCCTGTCTCCTGAGAACCCCCCTCTGCCTGCCTTGAGGACCCTGCCCCTCTAGAGGAGACCCCAGGCCTCCTGGGCCTCCCCTCCATGGCGGCCGAGGCGGGGGCCCAAAAAGAGCACCGGGCTGCCAAAGGGTGTGCTGTGCCTGCCCAGGGACATGCGGCAAGGACCCACCCACGCTCCCAGCTCCTGGTGGATGGGGGTCGGCTAGAGGCCCCACCTGGGCCCCAGCCCCTACTCCCTGCTGCCCTCCCTGCCTCCCTTGATCACCCTCACCCCCCAGCCACCTCCTCCACTGCCTCAAAGACTCTTGGGCCTCCTGAGAAAAAAGAAAACAGAAAAGTGGGTTTTTTTCTCTTTTCTTTTTTTCCCCTTTCCCTCCATCCCCACCCATGGGGCCTCTTTTTGGAGGTGGGGGCTGGGGAACAAGGGGCAGAGGTCCTGGAAGGGATTTTATTTTTTGAATTTTAATTGTTACATTTTTAGAAAAAGTAAAAGAAAAAAAAACATCAGGATGTAACACAGCAACTGTAGACGCTCCTGTTCCTGGCTGCCCCCTTCTGTCTCCAGCCCGGGCTCGAGGCTCAGTCTTCTGGCCTCCCGGGGCCCTTCACCTGGGCCCCAGCAGGCACAACGTCTCCCTCCAGGGTTTTCTTCTGGATTTTGGAGCATCTCTGGAACTCAGCCAGGAACAGCCATTCTGGACTGCACCAGGGGTGCGGGGTGGGGGTGCCACTGTGGGAGGCCCCAGCTCCAGCCCCAGCCTGGCTTGCCGCAGCCTCCCGTCTTCCGACTCATTTTGCACAAACCTGGCAATACTAGGGGGATGGGCACGGGGGCCTGTGTGCCGCAGGAGGCAGCGAGGGGCTGTTGGGGGCACACTCACACCACCAGCCCGGGGTCTGAGGTTTGAAGAGGGCCTGATACCCTCTCTGCTTGCCACCCCCTTCTCCTTCTACTTTGGGTTTTCTTGGTCTGCAGGGGACGGCTCCCAGCCCCTCTCCTTCTAGCTGCTTCTCCTCTTGTTTCTGCCTTAGGCTTTCCAAGGCCACAGGAGTGGGGTTGCAGTGGCTCCCACCTGCACCTTGGGTAGGGTGGGGCCAGGCCCAGAGCCCCCATCCTGGGCACCCCCGGCATCCTCCTGCCCACCTCCCTGACACTTTGCTCTAGGATGAAGCAATAATGGTGTACCCCCACACCCCCCTTTTGTGGGCAGCCCATCCCCACCCTGGTACCAAGTCATTGCTCCTTTGCCCCAACCTGGCCAAGCCTCACCCTCCGCGCCTAGCCAGTCCCTGAGCAATACGACAGACAAGCCATGGGGGACTGTTTGGAAGGAGACATCCCCACTTTCCCCTCTGCTATGCCCCGTGGCCCGGGTCTGCAGCCGGGCAGAGCAGGGCCTCTCTCTCCCACTCCCTCCCCGAGCACACGGTACTGTAGCTCCCTGCTCCCCTGAGCCTCCCATCTGTCTGTCCGTTCCAGGGGGAGTCCCACCCGCTCCCACCCCCGTGACGCTGTACAGGGTTCATTTTCGTAGCAGACGTAGTTCCTGTCCCAGCCGGCCACCGGAGTGGGCCTTGATTTTTTGTTTTGTTTTTTCTTTGTACATACTGTAAAGTTGGTTTGTAAATTATTCTAGAGGCAAAAAGGGAAAATAAACTTGTCCTTCGCTGACCCAGTGAGGGGAAGGTGGGCTGGGAGTCTTCCAGATGGAGAGCCCCATTCCCGCTGTATTATACAAACTGTGCCATAGGCTCCTCTGTCCTTCTTTGGCTCCCTAGGGACTATTCTTGCTCCTCCACATAGGAAAACCCGTAAGTGATAACCTACTGCAGCATATCTAGGGATGGCTGAAATAGTAATAAGAGCACACAAGGAAATGTGGTCTGTGACTGAAAGAAGAGGTTTAAAGGGCCCTGTCGAGGCCTCAAAGACCAGATTATGAGTTGATTTGATAAAGGCAGGGGCAGTGAAAGAAATACCGCAAGGAGAGCCCAATAGAATCTTCCTAGAACTGTGGCACTGACTAAAGCCAAGGCAGCAGTTCAAGCTGCTGAGGTACAATACACGGAAGCCCCACGTCTGGCCCATGTTCCTGCAGGACGTCCTGGGGGACAGTACCCACACCCTGCCTGGGTCCTTGCTCCCACAGGAGGGTGATTGGGCATTGTGGTTTGACTGAGGGGGGGGGAGGGGTTAAGGCCCCCACCTTGGGGACATGGTGAGGACTGGAGGCCACATGTACAATTAGCGATTAACTGGTCCCCAGTGAATGTACAACATGTACTGGCACTAGTGCAGTCGGGAGCTGAATGTTCTCTGATTTATGGTAACCCTGCGGGTTTTCCTGAGACTCCCCTACTGTGATAGGTGGCTATGGGGGTAAGGCAGTTAAAAGTGAAGAAATCCCAAATCCCCTGGTGAATGGGGCATTTACCCCAAAGCAGTACACTGTGTATATTTCTCCAATCCCTGAATATATTTTGGGGGTGGATATCCTGCAGGGCCTGTGGTTACAGACCACTGTAGGTGAGTTCAGACTGAGGACGTGTGGTAAAGGCAGCTCAGAGGGGACATGCTAAGCACCCTCCTGTAGCTCTGCCTGTACTTCAGCAGGTAACAAATACTAAGCAGTATACATTGCCAGGGGAGCACAAAGAAATTGGAGAAACTCTACAGGAGCTGGACGAGGTGGGCATCATAAAGCACTCTCAAAGTCCTTTAAATTCCCCAGTGTGACATACTATTATGTTGAGGGCCTTGCTGATGTTTTCTTCTCTATTGACATAACACAGGAAGTCAGAAACACTTTGCCTTCCTGTGGGAAGGCCAGCAGAGGATGTTGACTGTCCATCTACAGGGACACCTCCACAGTCCCACCCTGTGTCACGGACTTGTAGCCCAGGACGTGGCAGCATGGGAGAAACTGCCAATGGTGCATCTGGATCATTATATTGATGACATTATGCTCACACCTGATTCTCTTCCAGATTTAGAAGGGGCAGTTCCTAGACTGCTGCAAGATGTGCAGGAGAAAGGATGGGCTGTGAACAGCACCAAGGTTCAGGGACCTGTTGGTGTATGAAATTTTGGGGGGTTGTCTGGTCAGGTAAAACTAAAGCTGTTTCTGAAGCAGTTATAGACAAGGTCCAGGCTTTCCCCACCCCTACCACTGTGGCAGTATTACAAGTGTTTTGGGGTCTTTGGGGCTACTGGAGAGTGTTTATCCCACACTTGGCACAAATTCTGAAGCCGTTATACCGGTTGGTACAAAAGGGCATCAGGTGGGACTGGAATGAGACATGTGCAGCTGTTTTTACTGCTTTTACTGCTGCCAAGCAGGCAGTCAAGGCCGTATAGGCCTTGAATATAATGGAACCATCAAGGCCATGTGAACTAGATGTTCACGTAACTGAAGATGGTTATGGATGGGGTCTTTGGCAGTGGCTTGAATGGACACGCCAACCTATTGGATTCTGGTCACAGCTATGGAAAGGAGCAGAGGTCTTGTACATCTTGATAGAGAAGCAACTGGCTGCTGTGTACCTTACCTTGCTGGCTACGGAGCCCATTGCTAGAACAGCTCCAACCAAGGTAATAACAACCTATCTCATCATGGGGTGGGTGTGAGACTGGACCCAAAGGCCGTGGAGTGGTGTGGCACAGACATCTACACTGGCCAAATGGGTCGCATATTTAAAGCAGCACAGCACCCTCTCTACTACTCGTTAAGTGGAGAACTCCAACGCTTATTGGGGCCAGTGACCTATACCAGTGGAAAACAGGAAGAACTTGCTTTTCAGCCCTTGGTAGCCGAGACTCCTTATCAGAATAGAAAAGCCCCTATACCTGAAGATGGTTGGTACACAGACAGCTCCAGTCATGGGCAGACCCAAAGTGGAGGGCTGTGGCTTTCCATCCTAAGACTGAGACAATATGGATGGAGGATGGAGAGGGGAAGAGCAGCCAGTGGGCTGAGCTGTGGGCAGCATGGCTCATGATCACCCAGGAGCCTTCCCCCATAGTTGTCTGCACTGACAGCTGGGCAGTCTATTGGGGCTTGATCCTGTGGCTACCGACATGGTATCATGCCAACTGGATGGTTGGTTGGTCATTGGCCACTTTGGGGACGAGTTGTGGCAAGACCTATGGGCCTCTGGTCAGACTAAGACTGTTACTGTATATCATGTGACTGGCCATTTGCCTTTGGCATCCCCAGAGAACGATGAAGCAGACACACTGGCCCAGGTGCGCTGGCTAGAAGGAAAGCCTGCCTCTGATGCGGCCCAATGGCTACACCAGCGTTTGTTGCACGTGGGGCAAAAGACAATGTGAGCTGTTAGGAATGAGTCAACAAGTGTAGAAATGTATTTCGTGCTGCATAGGCAGAATCCTCTGGCTTGAGGATTATCATGATTTTATTGCTGTTGCTACTGTATGTCATTAGTATGGTCACTATGCTCCAGTTTTCTCGCCCAGGGACCGTTGTGGAAGAAGGGGAACAAGTAGATTGTAAGGCGAGATTTCTGGAGGGGTGGCCTGTGGGTAAAATTGTAACATTTCCAGAGTATCTTGCCAGCAGAGCCCAGAAGGAGTGCCTTGTGTTCTCTAAGAGGCACTTGGTACTCCGAGTCCCACAGCAACATGGGACAATAGTAAGGGGGCCAATACCCCTTGTCAGGTGGCAAATAAACTATATTGGGCCTCTGCCCATATCAGAAGGACATGGGTATGCCATAACTTGTGTGGACACGGTTACTGGACTATTGGTTGCTTTTCCTTCATGTCGTGCAGATCAGCAAACCACCAAGAGGGGCCTGGAGCATCTCTTTGCAGCCTATGGCCAGCTGCAGGTGATTGAGAGCAATGAAGGCACCCACTTTACTGGACATGCGTTACAAGAATGGGTGCAGCAATTAGGAATAAAGTGGAAATGTCACATATCATATAATCCTACCAGGGCAGGCATGATAGAGAGGTACAGTCGTTTGTTGAAATCTGGCCTGAAGTCAGACACCAATAGTCTATGGGGCTGGTCAGTTCGCCTGTGGACAGTCTGCGGCGTTTGAATGAGTAGCCATATAAAGGAGCCTTGAGCCCTGTGGATGTGCTCATACGCCTTGCTGCCTCTCCGATACAATTGTATGTCCAAACCAAATTGGAGTTATTGAAACCAGGATATTGCCAGCAGAGAAATATTCTGCTGCCAGCCCCTACTGCATTAAGCCCTGGAGACACTGTTGAATGGACCTGGCCCTGGACATTTTGACACATGG